TATTTTTAAAATAATAAAAAAATATAAAATCAAAAGTTAAAACACTAATAAACATTTTCAAATAAAGTTTATTTATATTAAAAAATTTTAATTAAATAATTTATAAAATTAAAAGAGATTTCTGTTTATAAATTAGCTTTCTAAAAAATTATAAAAATATTTTAAATTATATTATTGTAATAAAATATAATAAAAAATACTAAAATATTTTTATTTTTACTTAAAATATAAGTTATTATTTTTAATAAAAATTTATTAAAATAAAATAATTTGAATATATTATTCTTTTTAATTTTTTAAAAGTACAACTGAAAGGTAAAAACAATTTTCTCAAATTAAATTAAATTTTTATTTTTCATAAAAATTATAATAGAAAAAATGCAATAAATAGAGCTTACGCACTGGTTGACGATTTCTTGCTCTGTGAAAGTAACATACTGTACCATCTCTTCGAGGGTTTGGCCTCCTCGGTACAACAGCTAAAGTGCAGGAAGATAAATCCTTGACATCTCCAGATTCTAACCCAAACGTGGCCTAATATGGATCTTATCCTCGTGTTTTTTAAGCCAAACGCCATGGCTTTTGTTGCCGAATCAACTAGTCTACAGCTTTTCATTTGTTCTGATTTCTTTTGCTCTCTCTCCAGCCATTTTCTCCTCATCGATGTTCCCTGCAACTTTGCTAGTAAGGTGGATGAGGAAATGCGCCAGTGGCCTCCTTTATGCGTTCACTTTCATCGTCTTCCTGTTCTTGGACTTTCTCGATGCTGTTCTTTGTGTGATATACAGATACCTTGATCAGGTATTTGAGGGTAAAGCCTCTCCATGTTACTGTGTGAACAGGGGAGAAGGAGATAGGGGTCTTGGTGTGGAAAGCGAGGTCTCGGGGACTTTGTATGGGAGGAGGAATGTTCTTAGGGAAATGGGGTTCTTTGGGTTTGCAAGAAGATGGGAATGTGCTGGAGGAGGATTGGTGAATAGGTGGACTGATTGTGGGTGTGAATCTTGTGTTTATTGGATGAAGAATGGTGACCAGAAGCTTCATGTTGTTGTCAAGGAGCATCCAGAAGGTAATTTCTAGACTACTCGATTGCCTTTCCATTTTATCATTGATTTTGAATTGTGATTGAGGGGAATGAAAGAAAAGGAAAGAAAGAGATTTTCCTCCAAATGAAGGAAACGGACCAACCCTTCATGTAACTGGAAGAAATTCTCTTGCTTTGATTTCCTCTTCCCTAACTCCCCACAATACAAACATATGCTGTAAGTTTTATATAACTTTTACCTTTCCGCAAATGTGTATGGTTTTCCATATGTTATTAGAGTTGTGTTTAATTAGAATTGATAGGGTTTCAGTACTTTTTTCAACCACTACCATCTTTGCAAGTACTCGAGATCAAGTTTCTAGTTCAGTCACATTTCTGGCATAAGCACTTAGATTTTATTTGTACACTTCACCTTCAGTTTCAGTTTCAGACAAATTAGGGAAGGATGCAGGATAGGGCTATGGGGCAATTGATGCTATTAAATCCTTAAAATCAAATGATAATATTAAAAGTTAGTTTTAATTAACTTTTCTCCACTTAACAAAAATCTTGATCTTTTCCTGAGAAAATGGGTTTGTTTTGTTATCAAGAAGTAAAGGTGTCTGTGCCCAGAAGTTTACTATATCTTTTTCCCTTTTTGATTTTTCTCTATTCTCTAATTAATCTAAAAATGTCAAGTCCTTAAAAAGTTATGTAAATGATTATGTTTGATGCTTATCATTTGAACTTCTTGTTAACAAAGTAAAGCTGTTAGAACATTACGAGTAACAACAGAATCTAGTACCAAATTGTTGGTTGATTTTGATGCAATTACACGTTTGATGGTAACTATTTTTTGTTGGACAGATTCAGGGGCAGAACGACCTGAAAATGTAATATTTTTACATGGATTCCTGTCCTCTTCCTCCTTCTGGACAGAAACTGTCTTTGGGAATCTGTCTGAACCTGCGAAGCATAAGAAATATAGGTTTTTGGCTGTGGATCTTCTTGGATTTGGAAAGAGCCCCAAGCCGAGGAACAGTATGTACACTTTGAAAGAACATGTAGAAATGATTGAGCAATCAGTGATTTCTCCATTTAAGTTGAATTCTTTCCACCTGGTTGCTCACTCCATGGGTTGCATAATAGCTGTTGCCTTAGCTGCAAAATACTCCAAGTCTGTCAAATCAGTCACCCTCGTTGCACCTGTAAGTGAACAGGAATTACCAGTTGATATGAATGTTTTCTGCCTTCTATTGCAAAAATTATGATAATACTCAGAATTCCCATGAAAATTGAGCTGCTAACAAACTAAATCCTTAACAGTGAACTGACAATTTGAGTTTACATCCAATTAGATTAAGCTGAAATTTATCCTAATTGAGTTTGAACTGAGAATTTGATTATATGTTTGGCTCAATGATATTTATTACATATGATCATCAGTTCTGTCATGAGTTCTATAATATATTTTTAGCTTTTCCCATAATTGATCTCAATCAATTTCTCAAATAATCTTTCAATCTTTGAGCCGAAGCCCTATCTTAGCTTAGCTCAAGTCAGTTATAGAAGTTCTAATCTAGCTGAGCTGAAATATGCTAAAGTTTAATTTGGCTTGGCAAATCTTTACCCTTAACTTTAAATGTATTGCAATGTGTTAATGCTAAAAATAGACCTAATAAAATCTGATTTTATTGTTGTTTTCGTTCTTACATTGAAGTTTTTTGTCCTTACTTCCAGCCTTACATCCCTTGTTCTAATGATGGAACAAGTTCAGAAGTGCTTCAAAAATTTGCTGGAAAGAGACTATGGCCACTGATGGCGTTTGGTTCATCAGTTATGTCATGGTATGAGCATGTTGGGCGATGTGTTTGCTTTCTGATTTGTAGGAACCACAGGACATGGGAGAGGATTCTGAAGCTATTGACTTGGAAGAGGTAACATATCACATTCTTAAAACTAAATACAAAGATACTGATGCATGTAAGGTTAGGGGTGGAAACATGTTGCTTGAATTTATTTAACCTTCAGCTATTTTTTTTTTCGAAACAAACTGATACTTGAGCTCAATTACTAGTGTACTTCACTTGAGTACTCTGGAGCATATCCCATAGATGTAAATGAGCTTAATTTTGAGTTTGAGCTAGAACAAGCACAAGGTCTGCTGGCATATATTTAAATTTTTTTTATAAAATTTGATAATAATATACTGAAGCTCAAGTTTTTAAGAAGTTAAACTTCAAATATTGTGAGCAAGTTAAAGCTTCACAATTAGGCTTTGCTAGTTTCCACTCATAGACCTTGCATTATCTTGCATGTACATTGAACAATGACTGTATTTTCTTGCATTGTGGGGTATTTTGACCAGCTAAAGAGCTTTACCTTTCTTTTTTCAGAGATCTCAATTTTTTGATTGTGGACTTAACCAGGCACACCCATCATTCTGCTTGGCATAGTATGCATAATGTCGTATGTGGAGGGGTAAAATTCATGGATGATTTCCTAGAAACCTTGAGAAAATCTGGAGTAAGACTCTGTGTCATCCAAGGGGATCAAGATCAGATTGTCCCCTTAGACTGCTGCAATGACTTAAAGATGTCATTTCCAGACGTGGAACTTAACATTATCAGAAATGCTGACCATCGAACTGTAATCCTTGGTAGAGAGAAGGATTTTACAGAGAGTTTGGGGCATATATGGGCAGCATCTTCTACTGCAGCTGCAGCTAGGATAAAACAATGTTGTGCAAAGGATTGCCAGACGTTAAAGCTCCATACCCCATGTTTGATTTCTTCTTTTACTGGAACATCTTGAAGGTTGTGAATACTGTTCATATGTAACATACTAGGAACTTCGTTAATTTATATTCATGCATAAGTCTCAAATATGGGCATGAGAGTTATTGCTCTTCATAGGATATTTGAAAAAATTATTTTTATTATTTTTTTATAAAAAATAAAGATTATATTAAATTAAAAAATTACAATTAAATTTTTATTCAAGCATTACAATCTAAGTAAAATTAAAAATATAATTTGTAACACTAGTGACAAATTTAAATTGTAATCATGATAAATATAAATAATTAAATAAAAAATTATTTATAATTAAAAATTATAATAGCAATCGTTATATAACCATAAATAAAGTTATTAATATAAAAACATAAAATAATTTTTATTAGAATATAATAAGAATATTTAACTAAAATCATAGCAAATCGAAGGATAAAACTGTCAAAAGACAATTTCGTTGATGATTTGGGGTTCCAAGTTCCAATAACAACGGTACAACACCCGCCCAATCCAAATCTAAAACCATTTCCTTGGCATCTGTGCCATCCCATTTTCTAAATCGTCGGAGAGAATTCAACTTTGCTTTTCCATGGATTCAGCGACGGCGCAGCTTCGACTTAAAGCAATTCACGGCCACCTCATCACCGCCACCTCTCATTCTAATTCTGAACTTTGTACCAACCCCATCGCCGGAGATTTCTTCTTTGGTATGGTTTCTGCTCTGGATCTCCTTTTTCATTCTATCTTCGGTTCACAGAGAACAGATTATTATTATTTTTTAATGTAGAGTACAAAGTCCATATACATAGTTGGTGTACGCAGAAAAAATAGGAACTTCCTGACTTTGAACTATGGTAAGGATATGATGTCATAAAATATGCGAATGACTTATTTTACTCTAGTGGTTTAGTTTCAATTTTACAATTTTTAAGTTGCAGTTGGAACATTCCAAATTATAGATTTTGCGCTTTTAGATAGCAACCACTCTAAACAACAGAGAATCTTTTTTTATCTAATAAAAAATATTAATAATTTAATATAATTTAAATTGTATAGTAATTTTTTTATGTTACTATTATAATTATTAAATGCAATGTTAAAGCTACAATAATTAAATGTTTTTATTATTAGGTAGGTTATGTAGATAAATAAGGTGAGATATTACTATATTTTAAATAGTTAATATTATATATTTTTAATATTATTATTTATTATATTTTTATATTATATATATTTTTAAAATTTTATATTTTATTATTTTTAAT